CAGACTGTACAGTTCTCTGAAGAAAGTGGGGCTACAAATCATGGGGATACTACAAACTATGCTCAGGCATAGGCGAGACCAACAAAAAAAAAAAGCTAAAGGTTAGATAAGAGCTAGATGTTTCATACGCTGATGGGCAGAAGCCCTTAAATCATAACTTCAAGTACAGTGGTAGAGTTATGCACTTTACTTCAGCCAAAAAGAAAGCTGTACCTGCTAATTTTATTGTCCCCATGCAGTCAGACAGAAAACTAAATCCTTTCAGCAAGAAATGCCTATTTGAATGTTGTTTTGGCTAGGGCAGATTCCTTTTGAAGCACAGATCTGAAAGCCCAATGCTAGATTAAACATCAGAGACTCACATAAAGGCTTTCAAAGATATCTGGACTTCATTCAGGACCAAAGAACCACAACTAAATAAACATACAGTGATGACAAACAATCTGTCTTTTCTTTTGAGATATTAAATCATGAGTGCACAGCATGAAAATCCTTGTTGGTAAAAAGGCAGTATCACATTGTAGGGTGGGAGGAACTAATTCTGAGGTCAACGTTATGAAATTAATACATAAGGATGGAATGTGCTTGGGAAGTACGTATGTCTGATCATTCATAACACTGTAAGGCATACCTGAGGAAGGCTGATAGACACCTTGATTCCTGAATTTCAGAAACAAGCTGTGCCCTGTGTTCTGGATGTCACATAAATAAGGAACTACTGAAGACAGACTCTGGAAGCAAACAGAAATTCCTAAATGCTACCCATGGCAGTAAGAATGACCACACTTGCTCATTGAGCAGCTCTACCATCACAAGGAGAATACACAGGGAAATCAGTCTTGCTTCATTAGGCTGAGAAACAATGAAAGGACACTCCCACTAACAGCTTAAATTGTGTAATCTGTTTCTCTGAACGGTTCGCCTAGGTAACAGGAAAACTCCTGTCTAAGATAATTATTAGCTTTAATATCCCACATACATTCGCACTCACTATTTTACTCCACATTAAACATCGCAAATCACAGAGAAACACAAAAAACCCCAACACTGCTTACATTATAACATCTTGTCTGTTACCACGTCCCAAAGCAGAGCTTACTAAAAAGAGATGTGACACAATAAAATTATATACAAGGCACAGGCTTCAAAAAGGAAAGGTTTTATCTAACGAGGGAAAACTTCTAGCACGTATACTGGCAATTGATAAACAGTCTGAATTGGTCACACAGCTGATACACACTGAGACCATCCATGCATAAGAAGACAAAAGGGAATAGAGAGGCCTTGCCTATGTTCTTCAAGCATCCACTTGGGACCCTTAAATACACTCAATTTTGGCAACACAAAGGAAAAGAAAAACTTGAAAAGGCTATGCAGAAGAATTATTAAAGGCACAACAAAAATATAAACAGCAACTTTACATATCAAAAGCTAGAATACATTATGACACTTGCCTGAGACAGCAAAGCTGATCATTGATATTCATCTTATACATCAGACAATAGGAAAACTGGATTGGATATTTGGAAGACCTGCTTCCACAAAGAAGTTCCCCACAAGTGAAATGCGAGTCTTCTGATCACTATCCCACACTGAATTGTATTGGTCTCAAATTCAGTCACTGACTGTATAAGGTGATTTTCCAGACTCTAAGGCCACAGAAATGTAGGATGCTTTTTCCTAATTTTCCAAATCTTCTAGTGGCCAAAAGACCAATAACAAGCACACAGACTCCAGGTTTTTCCCTAAGCACAACCATACTAGAGTAACTCACCAATATGCCAGTATGTACTTTCTTGCTCAGGATTTTAACTGATCTTACGTAAAGCACATAGCCCAAGTCTATTCCATTAAATAATAACATGGATCTTAATGCAAAGCACAAAGGAATTCCAGCAAGGCATTTGTAAACATATCCAAACACCTGGAAGAATCTTTTTTTCATCTCTTCAGCCAGAAAGAGACACTTAGCATGACTTTCTTTCAAATATCTAGCATCTTGAGGGTCCCAGAAAGGGCAGGAGAAAATGAACAGAGAAGGGAAAAAGCAGCACAAGTGTGCTGTCTTTGGAGAACCCACAGACCATTCCATTGCTTTTACCAAAACATAAGGCAGTCAACTGGACCAAATTCACTTAAATGATGACTTCATGCTTAAAATAAACTGTAAAACTTTTGTGAAATAAAAAGGAAAAGCTGCATCTTTTGGTATCCAGACTGAAAAAAATAATCATATTATTTATAGATGTCAGTTTATTAACAAAAAATGTTTATGAAATTCACACTCAGTGGTAAATGTAATGTAAGAACTTTAAGCTGCAGTTGTAATTGACTGCAAACAAGACCTTTCAATCATTTCTAACTATAGTTACACAGAATATTTTTCTCTTTGTCAACACTGTCTGAAATTCCTTCGTTTGAAGGAGAGAAAAGGAGCACTGTTCTGTTATTTATCACGAAGTGTGATGCATTTAAAAATAAATAAATAAAATCACCAGATTCAGATCATTTGAATGTATTCCAGGAAGATCAACATTCCCCAATAGATGTCAGGAACAATTAATGTTTTTGTGGGACGTGTCATTATTTTCCCTCCTGTTCTGTTAATATCCTTCTATCTTGGAAAAGTCCAGATTTACTTCCCAACTGCCATATTTCTTTCTACTCTGAATACCCGACGAGCCAAAAACAAAAGCTCGACACATTTGTCCCTGCTCCTTTAAGCATAAATCTAATTAACATAAATTTCTGCTAAAAAAATTCACGTGTTTTTTGTATAAATAAAATATACATAACTTCAGAAAGCTATCCTGGGTGCGTTTGTAAGACTGAAGTAGACCTATCAGGTTTGAATAAAAGCCTAGTCCTCCAGGAAAATCCACCAGGAACAAGCATATGGCCCTTCCTGATGCAAAACAGAATCCCAGGGTTTTAGCTTCAGCAGTGACAACTGACTTTGAGGAAGAATGGGTTACACTGCTGTGTTCTGTAACAGCTTGCATAAAGGTTTAAATAGTTTCACAGCACATCCTTAGACTGTTTAGGATCAATAATATAAAAATTATTACACATATTCTTCTATAGTTCCACATACTGACATTTCTGCAAATGCCTGGTATTCCCGTTTTAACCAAAATTGTTTCTATTCATTCACTCCTAAAGAGAGCTTACTACAGCCACATTTGTCAAATGACAGACAGGCTAAGCAGGGAGATAGAGCCACAGCAGTGACTTGTCAGGGAAGCCAGTGACCTTCCTCCAGGTCTTAGTTGTAAAGCAGCAGTCTACTTTAAAATCTGAAAATCATTTCAGCTTGTCACGTTTCCCGTACTCATTTTCAGAATCAGGAAAGATCCAAAACTTTAGCCCTAGGTTTTCAGTAACTGAAAAGTTTGAACAAATCTGTTCTTAGCTGTCACTACTATGAAAAGCTGCATTTAAAGTTCTGTGAACTTGTTGTAGAAAGGGAAGAATGTCACAGAAGCCCCAGCCCACGCCATTTTTAATAAGACTTTGTCATAGTCAGTGGGCACACATTAGCTGTACCTGTTAGTGCTTGTGGAATGTTTCAAAAGATATTTCCTACTTCTATTGCTCCTGGACTGGTGCCCACTGACAGCTTTAATACTCACAGGAAGTGGCTATAGCAATGCTGGTCTGGACTTGACTAAACTGCAGAAGCTCTTAATAAGATCCCTTCTGGAGGACTCTTCTATTTATAAAGTTGGGTTTTAATGATTGTTAGGAACTAAGCTGGCTCCCCAAAGAATCCTTGTTAAAAAACACTCCACTTTATGAAAGGATGTCCAAGATAAATAGGCCTCTACTGTTAGAGGACTCAACATCCAAGTTGTTCTTCCTGTGTTCCTAGGCTTTCTGAGGGAAGAAAGAGATCAAAGTGTTTGAAGTTGTTCAGTACATGGAAACTTAGAATAATACAGGCACAGTAACCATAAAGGCAGGTACAGAGAGACACGGAGAACAAACTATCACATGTTGCCAGAAAGTTCCATTTCTCTAAAATGGATTTGCCAGGGCCAAATACTAAAGACGTCTCCATAATGAGAAACTGGACAAATATGTGGATCAGGATTCATTATGTCTACCATTAGACAAACCACAATCTAGAACCCAGGAAATCCCCTGAACCAGAGGATGGTAAGAGGAGTAATCAAACATGCATTTTTTCTTAATCCATATCAGTATAGCTGTAGAAGAAAGGTGGGCTAAATGTGCCCTTGGTCTAAACATTCTCGTATGTTTAATTAAGGAGATGTGGGATTACCTTTTCTTCTTCAAATCTCTCCACTAAGAGAAGAGAGATTCCTGTTTTGCAAGCGTGGATTTTGTTACTATCAAAAAGAGACAAAGGAAGTTCACTTTACTTTTTTGTGTTTCTGCTTTAGAATTCTGTCCCTGCAATGATGCTCTACTTTCCAGAATTAACAAACATCTCAAAAGCTTATCAAATTTCATCTTAAGAGTTGTGTTGTGAATTTCCTTCTCCACGGTTCTCACTGGAGTTCTTTCAGAACCAAGCTGCTGCTATGGTTAGGAGCCCTCTAATTTCCAGCCTGATCATAGCCAGCTTTTACCCATTTGTTCTTGTGCCAGCACTATCTGGTTTTGAGCTAAGCTGCAAGCTGGCTGACATGTTTACAATAACGGATCAATGGCCTTTACTACAAAAAAGGAAAGTAAAAGGTCAATTCTGCATCATAAAACATCTATTTAATTTTGCATTTAAAAATCCAAGTTCATCCAAATCCCTGAAAACAGAGCCTAAATATACACACACGATTCAGATTCTGAATTGACTTGCTAACGGTAAGCGAAAATGCAAAGAGTTTCTTTTTTAACAGACTGATTAAAAAAAAGCACAAAGCTGTAAATGACTTCATAGGTATATCACATTATATACAATTATGCATGTGACTTACACGGTATGCGTACCAGGAAAGAAAATAAATAAAATAACAAAAAGGCTAAAGAGCACTTACTTCCCAATGTTTTCAGGTAGTGCTTGCAGAGAGATATCATTTACTGAAAGACACGTTAGATTCTGTAATTCAGGAAAGCTTTCGGGCAACCTATGGAGATATTAATTCAAGTTTAGGACTTCCAGCATAAGTATTCACATTAACAGAACACACAGAGGAAAAAAGAACATGCTGCAGAAAATTAGAGTCTTTTTAGCCAATATGCACAGAGAAAGGAAGGAATGTCTATGTTCCAGCATGAATCTTGAAAAATTCTAAAAATCATAGTAAGAAAAAAGCATTAATCTCTTTTCCTTGCCTCCAATTTGCCACGTTACAAAGCTATATACATATAGCTGCATTTAAAGCATTACAAAAAATTACACTTAAAAAAATATTCTGCTGGTATTTTCCTGCATCTGCTAGATGGTAAAATAATTAAATCAATTACTTTGATTTAAGCTTCAGTTATGTACATGCTTACAGCAGGGCCATTTTGTGTTAGATACTAGGCTGTTCTTCACTTACTGCTTTTTGAAGAAACGCTCTGTTCACCAGCAAGACAATGTTCTGTTGTTACAGCATTTCACATGTACTAGTCCACAGCACAACAGCTTGCAATCCCTCTCCTCTCACATTATAAAAATGCTAGCAACACTTCCAAAATACCTAAAGCCTTCAGGTCCAACACCCATTTTTCTGCACTGCTTGGCTTTCCTCTGCTCACACTGAAGAACTCCTTCACCCTCACCTGCAGGCAGCCAGGTTGCACCAAACCTGATCCCCAGAGCATACAACCTAAACTCAAGCTGTAGTTTGGTTCCTACTCCCCACACCACCCAGCTCCAGGCACACGGTATAATCCACAGACCACTAGCAAACTGGAGATTCAAGTGTACGGGTAAGCACAGCTGTGTGTGATGGGGAGAAGGGAACGAGACAAATTACAAATTCTCGTGTGCTCAACCCCATACCATGCTGTTGGTCATTTTCTGTCTTTCATTAACAAAACATGTTTGGTATCTCTACAATGTGAGCGTTACTGTGACTGTTCACCCCCATTAGGTGCACAATAGCATAATTTGAAAAAGCAGTTTTTACTATTTAGAAGCTAACAGTTTTAAAACCGTAGTTAAATGGTTTATCTATAGCATATAGCAGACTTCTAAGCTAACCAACCTAAATGCACCTCCTTCTTATTAATATAAACCTGAAAGCAGCTGAAAAGCAGCCATTGTTAGTACTGAAGTCATTCAGTTTGACAATGAGACAACATTCTGTATTAGTGGAAGAACACTGATGGCAAAGTTCTACAACTGGCTTTTGAGCTCAGAGGAAATGAGAGCTAAGATCAATGGCTAAAAAAGGTTCCAGTATATCAACAAAAGGAAATGACTGCTAGGCTTTCTCACTCTATCTTGGGTAATTAGTGCCAAGTTCTAAATGCTGCAGATACAGGTAAATACAGGTAAAACTGAAATTCTAGACTTTATCATAGAAAGAACCAGGCAACCATGTATAAACAGCTTGAACTGTCTGCGTTTTCTAACTTACTAAACTGGTTGGAGTGATGTTTTCCAGTACATACATACATTTTGGAGCCATTCTATCACGAATTTTTAAAATTCTCCTACAACTGTCAGCAATGAGTTCTGAGATCTATTTTAACCCCATTAAAAAGCCCTACAACTCTTCAGTCAGTTCTTCTCAGCTGCAGTCACGCATTACAGATACTGTTTAAAAAGATACAGTACTTGGGCCCTAAGCCTTATTTGGCTCACAAAATGGAGAATGATAGCTAACATGGTACTGCTTAATGTTTTATTTCAGTACCAGGAGATGCAGCTCTGTGCTGCATGTACGGCACACTCATCTCTGAGAAAACGCTGTGCAGTGACTCTCATCACTTTAATATCTAAACATCATCTCAGCTTCAGTTTGCTTTACCAGATTTTTGTGGTATTATTATCCTCAGCATATAAATGGGCTACAGAGGCACGGGGATTAAGATCACAAGTGTCCCTTTAATGCTTAGAAAGCCGAATTTCCAGAGAACTTAGAATGCACTATCCACTATATTCAAAGCACAGCTCTGAAGAATCTCAGCTGCCAATGTGGGAGAAGCTGTCCTGCAAAAAACCGCTGTAGCAGCTTAAGATATTACAGACACTCAGCTGTTTGTTACCACTCATGCACCCCAGCCAGCCAGCCAGCTAATCGTGCAAGTATTCCCAGCCTATCTCAGTGCAAAGCAACGAGAGTTGGTTAACGCCCACTGTGAATGCTCTGGTTTGTGTGAATTTCTAAGCATCACAAAGGAGCTCTGTGGGACAGGCCAGTTTAGGAAATGGTTCTCCAAATAGCGTTCAAAGGCTCCAGCTAGCAGATCACCTCTTCTGTCCTTTGTTATCTCCTGTCTCAGTTCAGTATATGAATTCCAAACTCTTCAGCAAATGGAACAGAAAAATGTAAACAAACCTCTTCTGTAAGTGCCTAATCCCTCGACTCCATCAGAATACAGACCAGGAACAGCAGTAGCAACCACTGATAGATGCAGTGCTTTTTTGCCACATGTTACTGCACGTCACTGTGTCCCAATTGACAGGAGAGTGTTGAAACACTAGTCTAAGCTTTAATCATTAGGAAAAGCCATTATCTGCAGCAGCTGAGCTACAATCTATTCCAAATTGTCAGGAACCTGGATTTGTGCCAATACATTCGTGCTTACCATTGCTTTATCTCTCCCAGGTATGAGCGTGGTTTTCCTATGCATTTAAGAAGAGGAATGAAAATTACTTAGAAGAGAATCAGATTTGCATTTTTCCTGGTCGGCTAACAAATTTCATCCCCTCCCAGTGAAGATGCTCATCACGTTTTAAATCTGAACTTTTGCTACAGACCCTGCCAGAGACAGACATTGTTGGCAAGATTTCATAGAGATCCTAAATCACAATTCTTAAGGGCTTATTTAAAATTGTAATTGTTACAGCAAGATTGTAATTCTGGTATGGCAAGTACTAAGAAGAAGGTGGAAATTACCTAGTTAGTGGATTCCCACTGAAATCTGCTACCTGTAGTGCCTTGCAGAATGAGATGCTTTCTGGTATTTCAGGAATATCTGCAGAAGAAAAAGAAAAAAAGGGGAAAAAAACATCATCAAGAACTGTACAGCATCTACACTGAAACTATTGCCTCATTATGTATGGTAACATGCTACTGCAAAGAGTTATCTTGGTATCTTTCAAACCATTTCAACATGCAATGCTGCTTCATACCCAAGTATTCATACTTGAAACCAGAGCAAGAGCAGCTACCAGCGCAGAGCTGCTTTGTACTTTTTCAAATCCCATTTCACTTTCCTGCTCTGCACTGTTTTTCCTGATCCTAGACTGCTCACCTGTGCTTCAAGCAATCTGCATCAGCCTCTGTCCAGCAAAAGAACAGATTCTTTGTGTTCTAAGATTGTTCTGAAGAACCAATTAAGTCTGAACCTCATGTAATTTGTTCAGTACACACCCACAACCTGTGCTGGCAGAAAGTACAGGGGGAGGAAGAGCAAGGAAGAAGAGAGTGTTCAAGGCTCTGTTCATAATGCACACTTGTGGAAACATAACGACACTAAAGATAAGCAATTTGAAAACATTATTCAAATCAACAGGTCCCAAATCAGTGCTAGCATACTGTTACAGAAAGGCAGAGAGTAGTAAGAGTTACGTATACATGAAAACAGATTTTTTCTTCTACCTCCAAGACTATATGTCTATCTACTGAAGCCAGTCGTGCTACCTTGAACACAAAATTTTCTGTAGGGCCTCTTATTTCAGGTTTCTATGAGCAGCCTGTGGGCCCTCTGTGTAAGCCCCTGTTTATTGTCATTGAGATCCAGCAAGAATGAAACAGATATGCTTGGTTTCCTTGATTAACAACTTAAGATTCATATGATTCACCTGGAAAGGAATTTAAAAAGAAGTCAAATCTTAAAATAAAAATCAGACTCGTCCTTCCAGAGTTTTCCAATTTCCATTCTTTCGGCATAGTAGTCCACCTGTTTCATCTCCTCATACATTAGTCCTTTCTTAGAGTAGGGACAAACAGCTAGGAAACTGTCGTCTAAATAACTACAAGAAAAAAAAAAAAGGCATTATGAATGCCTGACTGAATAATCAGAAGTAATAAATTCTTGCAACATGTGAAGTTCTTAGAAGTATCTGCCTGATACTAACACCACAGAAAGTAAAAGTAATGAAGTCATTGCAGGGGCATTGCTGAGTCCTAAGGAACAGACAACTTTCTTTTTCTTTCTAAGCATTCATGTGAAAGCATTGCCTTTATGAAATGCTCTAAGGAATAGAAGCAGCACATAGAACTGAGAACTTCTCTCTTCCCTACGCAGAGAAATCAGGGAGGCACATGAATTCAAAACAAAAATCAAAACTGCATTTACAGTCTGCAAAGCTGCTGCCTTTAATCCTATCAGTTCTCTACGTGAGCACCATCTGTAGAACCCTAAATTCACACTACAAAGGTCCTACCTACACTCAGCAGACATTAGAACCTCTGTCTGGCATTACAGCAATGACAAATATGGACACTGAGAGTTCTGCTAGTCACCAGCAAATTCAGAAGTTCATTATCCACCATCTATTCCTCATATCACCCTTCTCTGGATAACCAGTTGGAAAATGAACAGAACAGCATTGGCTCACTTTCTCTTATTTTTCAATAGCTTTGTCCCTCTTGCTCACCCTCTCCCCCTCCCCACATCAAAACTAGACATCATTTAAATGAGCCTTAATTAATTGAGAGTAGATCTTTATTTTGAATTATGGGAGCCCAGGCACTATTTGCCACTCTGGAAAGGAATGAGGGAAAGGCTGTTGATGCAGTCTACCTAGACTTCACCAAAGCCTTTGACAAAGTCTCTCACAGTATTCTTCTGGGGAAACTGGCTGCCCATGGCCTGGACAGGTATACCCTTCTTTGGGTAAGGAACTGGCTAGAGGACTGTGCCCAATGGGCAGTGGTTAATGGAGCTAAGTCCAGCTGGTGACCCGCTACAAGTGGTGTCCCCCAGGGATCAGTACTGGGGCCCATCTTGTTTACTGATGACCTAGATGAAGGGATTGAGTGTACCCTCAGTAGGTTTGCAGATGACACCAAGCTAAGAGGTGGTGTCAATCTGCCTGAGGATAGGGAAGCTCTTCAGAGAGATCTAGATAAGCTGGATCTCCGGGCTGAAGTGAATGGGACGAGGTTCAACAAGGCCAAGTGCCGGGTCCCAGCACTTTGCCGCAATAACCCCATGCAGTGTTACAGGCTTGGGGAGCTGTGGTGAAGAGGGGTTTGGCCTCTTCTCCAGGCAACAAACAGGACCCAGGGAAATGGCCAAAAGTTGTACCAGAGGAGGTTTAGGTTGGACACAAGGAAGGACTTTTTCTCTCAGAGAGTGGTCAGGCACTGGAATGGCTGCCCAGGGAGGTGGTGGAGTCGTCATCCCTGGCAGTGCTCAAGAGGCGCCTGGATGAGGAGCTGCGAGATACGGGTTAGTGCTTGTGGTAGCAGTGGTAACAAGAGGACGGTTGGACTAGATGATCTTGCAGGTCATTTCCAACCTTGCAATTCTATGATTCTATCACTATTTTACATCCTCAGATGACTCAAAATAACTTGTGTCTTTGCAGCCCAGCCAATGTCCACAACTTTTATATGTGCATCTGTGTACACATACATCTCTTCTATATACAGGTACACGTGTCATATGTGAATTATTCTCTTTAATTAAGTAAACCTTGAGTAAATATTTTAATTTTTTGAAAAATAACCTATATACATATGTATACACATATATACATACCTAAAAATATAAAGCAGAAGATAAATTTTCAATGACAATACCAAGTCTCTGAAAGTACGCATGCTATTGATTTCCTCTAACAACGTGTGGCTTCATTGCCATGCTGTAAATATTTCCTCTTCTATTTCTATGCATTGTTAAGCCAAACTATTTTGATAATCTCCTTCTTTTACAAGTCTTAGCTATTATCTGTAAAAGCTAACAGTAAATTAAGTGAGCTATTTAAAATATACTCCAATATTAATTGCAATACAGCTGCACACAAATTATTTATAATTCGGATGCATTATACATACATTATACAACAAAATCAGTTCTGGAATTAACGCATACTTTCCCAGCCTACTTATTCCAGGCTATAAAATCATTACATAAGCAAAACTTATCAGTAGAAAATGATAACAGATACAAGAAAAATAAGAGAAATTCCAGTTCCAAATTAAGCTCTTTCTTTGCATTTCAAGTGCATATTCCTCCTGCTGATGATGCTTTTGCAATTTGCTTTTCTCCTCTATCAAACTGGATGAAGAACAAAAAAAAGAGAAAAAAATAAAGAAAATCAGTCCATCCCTTTGGATTGGGGATTGTTATATATTCAGTAAGCAAAACAAGGTTGAAATATAAATATTGAAAAGATTTATCAGCCAGAACAGAAGCAGATTACTAGCAGACATTTTATCACTACGCATGATGACTACTGTAGGATTATTTTGAACAAAAAAGATCAGAAGAGAAAAGGAGCATTCTAGTGTATGGCAAAAAAATCTGGAGTGATTATTATAGCAGAGGTGATGACAGTCCATAACATAAACACTGGCATAATTAACTGAAATGCAACGTAGTATATCAAAGTACATTTAAAAGTCCATCTATCTCCTAATGGATTGAGCAGCTTTTGCCATTACTGCTTACTACTAGGTTTTGTTACAGACATTAACACATAAATCACTGCCAACATCAGCAGCAGTATGTTAGAATGCTTTTCTTGCCACCGCTGGATAACTGACTCAAATCCTACTTAAATATCTAGGATTCTTCTAATACCACACACTGATGAACGCTCCACGTTTATATGATGCTCCCAGATGTTCTGGCATACAGACTGTGCAGCACTGCTCATAGTAAAGCTATAACCAAGCATAAGCCCTGTGACGTATGACAGTGCAAACGCACTGGCAGGAAAAAATTCATGCCAGCATAAAGTGGCAGTCATGTACATAAGAGTGCATATACATATATACATACACAGACACACATTTCTATTCAAGATGCCTCTTCAGATTTGCATAATCCTTGGGAATTCTGTACTGTATGAGTGCGAAAATTACTTATAAAAAATCTTTTTACTAATCTATTTTTGTTAAAGTTTTTACGACAGCAATATTCCCCAATTCTTTCTCATCCCTTCTTCCCTTCCTCTGATGGCTGCAGGAGTTGGGGAGGAAGAAAATCTTCATTTTAAATTGGTAAAGCCTCTTATACAGCACTTTTTACTGTGTCTTTATACAAAATTTGAAAACCAGACGATATTCTTTTCTTTATCCAAAGCCTACATGGCCAGCATTCGTTACATACTCTGCAACAGTGAACATCATTTCCAATTATCAGTATCAAGATAGCAATGGTCAAGAAGGTCGTAGGCTGTGAGAGGACCATTAGACCAGAACTACTTTCAACTGCAAAGGCAACACGGAGCATTCCGCTTTGGTGGGGCTGCTTGATGAGCCACATCTATGAGTCACACCACATTTACACCCAGTAAACCCACTCCAGACTTAAAAACTGTGAAACAAGGCAGCACTATTCCTCAGGAGACAGATGACCAGACACTAAACAGATCACGTTCATCCCGTTCAAAACATGGAAGAATTTTCCCCTGTCTCTTCTCACATTACACGTATATTATATGCACGAGTTAAAGGCCCCAGCCAGCCCATCAAATCATCAAACTCTCTGGTGCTTGAGCAAAGCAGGAGTCATGACGTTCCCCTTCCTTTCATAAGAACATGCACTGGTTTGGGTTGGAAGGGACCTCAAAGCCCACCCAGTGCCACCCCCCTGCTGCGGGCAGGGCTGCTTCCCAACAGCTCAGCTGCCCAGGGCCCATCCAGCCTGGCCTAAGCGCCTCCAGGGATGGGGCACCACAGCTCTCTGGGCGGCTGTGCCACTGCCTCACTGCCCTCTGCATGAAGAGTTTCCTCCTAATAACTAACCTATATCTTTTCTCTTTCAGTTTGAAACCAACTCCAAGTGGTCCTTGCCAT